CTGTGAGTGTATGGGGTCAGTAAAACTCACCTGTAAGTGTATGGGGTCAGTAAAACTCACCTGTAAGTGTATGGGGTCAGTAAAACACACCTGTGAGTGTATGGGGTCAGTAAAACTCACCTGTAAGTGTATGGGGTCAGTAAAAGACCTGTGGGTGTATGGGGTCTGTAAAACTCACATGTAGGTGTATGGGGGTCAGTAAAACTCGTCTGTAAGTGTATGGGGTCAGTAAAACTCACCTGTAAGTGTATGGGGTCAGTAAAACTCATCTGTGAGTGTATGGGGTCAGTAAAACTCACCTGTGAGTGTATGGGGTCAGTAAAACTCACCTGTGAGTGTATGGGGTCAGTAAAACTCACCTGTGAGTGTATGGGGTCAGTAAAACTCACCTGTGGGTGTATGGGGTCAGTAAAACTCCAAACTAATATCAATGATGGTGTCATCAAAACTTTAGATGAGTTATCTACTCTTTCATCAAATGATAATCTTTCAGCGCAAGACACAGCAATAACTCCTTTAATGGAAGGATGCCAATCAACACATGTTATGGTCTTCTCTTTGCTGAATTGAAGGTCAGTGAATGACTGATATTCCTGTTTGAAAGAGAAATGTAATAACCATCAAGATATGGCAGGCCTAGTAATTTCATTCCAACTCGCATGAGTAACAAACTCGTCTGTAAGTGTATGACTGGTATAAACAAAACTTCTTAAATTTAAACATGTCAACATAGGCGGACTAATGGCAAGAACGCCATATTGATACACATGTGCATATTGAAGGTAGTTTTCAATATAAGTCTCTAGTTGTGAAATAACCCTGGCATGGTACAGGAAGGTGAGGCGTGTATTAGGAAGTAACAATACTAGTACTGAGAGGAGCCAAGGCTAAGATAATCCAAAGTGTTGTACACAGGGCATGGGATATCCCTTGAATTATTATCAGTACACATGACTAGATAAGATTACCTTGAGATGGTTATCTGATTTGCTTCCAAATGTACTGTCTTCATCAGCTAATGCCATCCAATCATCAAAGAACACATCCATAATTTCATTCTGTTGCAAACACAACTCAAATCTTGAAAAGAAAGCAAAATGAATATTGGTTAGATTTGATGGTAAATATACATACCAGTATTATACAATAAGAATGGCAGAAATGCTTGATTTTTGTGTATTTTTAGCACACCAAATAGACACCAGTCAACAATCCAGAATTAAGCTGATAGAATGAATTTATGCTCATATGTATCCTAAGCTGTATTACATAAGTGTAAAGTTTGAATATGGTCAAGGCAAAGCAAAGAAATACAGCTCCAGAACAAAACTTTTGTGAACACTGGTCAGTCAGACATTTTGAATCATATCTGCATGAAGGTCCCAAGTTTGAACTTTCGTCAATGCATGTCCACCATCCATGTTCCAAAATGGCAGAATAGACCATTTTCCGTTCACTGCGAGAATCACGCGTTATGCGTGAAATCGAACGTAAAAACAGGACAAACAAAGGTCATAGCGTCATAGTCGCGTCAAACATCGCGTGGGATTCGACAAACGCGAAAGTATTTTGGGGACATTTCCATGCTTAATAATGTGCTGTCCACATTTGATGATAGGCAATTTCGATTAAGTAAGGGTATTCGGAAGCAATATTTCTCTGTCGAAGATCGGCCGGTAGATGTAAACTACGAAATAAAGAAATTCTAGTTCAAAATCAAGTCGTTCGATTTTTGCGGCAGACGTTCGACGCACATCTTTCATGGATCTCGTGAGATCTCGCAATTGTACAGAAAATCACCTATTGGGACTGTTGATGGATTTATAATACAAAATGACTGCCATTTGTCCCTCTTAAATTAGATCACTAAACAAATATATGTGCATATGTCTGAACTTGATTAGACCAGGTATGTCATGGTTAATCAACAAGTCTTGCTTTTGAACATCCGTACGGCTCAAACAACAATCAATTTAAATACCAGTCATGCTAATACAATATGCATATACACTTACCGAGGAGCTACCTCTTCAACAAATTTATTTACAGTTTTAGAGCTGGATATCTTTTCTTTTTCTTCCTCACTAAACTCTCTTGGTGTATACTGTGTACTGGCATTCCTCGGATGCTTCCTGTAATGCAATACAAATAGTTGTCAAGTTCAGAATCTAAAAACCTAAGACATCTCATATGTATACACCCATGTTTATCTATAACATTTGTGTGAGCTTTATCCCCATTGAAATCTCCACATACTATAAATATAATTATATATTAGTTTATTGTATCCATTGTCTCTAATAATAAAAGAAATATTGCACTAATAATAGGTGGAAAATTGAATTATGATGATAAAAATGTTAATGTTAGAGTGAGTATTTTAATTTTCTCTAATCATATGAAACAACTGACCCTACTTTTTATACTATTTCAAGAAGGAAATAGGTATCACTGAGAGCTCCTTGCAATCAACATTTCAAATTTATTTACATGCATGGTTCAGATTCCTATTGTTTACCTGTGTTGTATCTTGTTTATTGATTTAATGTTGCAAGTTAGGTGTAGGTCTTACAGCCTCTTTTTATAACCTTTAACCCTGTAACTAAGACTAATCTAATTACTCGTTGCTATGTTAGTGGAATCTTTCACTTTGAGTTAAACCAATCACAGTTCTGTATTGTACTTTTGACAATATTATGCAAATACTCTGTTTTTACTTCAATGTACTCTGACGTGTGGCACCACACAGATCACTGATTTAACTTTGTGTCTCTTGGAAGTCTGTTCTACTACTCCACACAATGCAACCCTAATCTCCATTTGTGAGTGGAAACATTGTCTTACCATTCTGTTTGAGAACCATTTTCAATCAAAGTAGGTATTGCCTGAGTTCCGGAATCTATTTCAACTTTTTTGATATTAAAACTTTTATCCTCATATGATGTACACTCAATAAATCCATCTTTAGCATCTCCTGCATTGCGATCAGTAAATGTAGCATGTACACCAAAATCACGTCTTACACGAGTTACTGTGAACTTGGACTGTGAAATAAACATGAATTTAGTGAAACAAACACTCTCAATACCAGTTTAAAACGGATTTTTTTGTTTTTAAATTTTCTGTCAGGTGAATGTCACTGTTGTCTCTCCTGACTTTTTTTCATGCGCAATTTGCAAATATGAGTGCTGACATATATAGTACCATTTTGCCACAGAGATCATATGCCAGCTAGGGACTACATGGCTAGCTGTGTTACCATCAAAGGGGCTTTATGGCAATTTAATGCACTATCCTGGCATCAATCAGGCCCAGTTGAACACAGCACCTAAACCATAGACCTGCCTAAACCAAGCCCCCCCCCCCAAAGATGCAATCATTAGTGAAGGAAACTCGGCCAGTAGATTTGATCTTCTTATTGAATCTGTGGCATACTCAGCCGATTAGGGGTCAACCCCTTTTTCTGTTCAACCCGAGGTAGAATTTGAAATCTAGTCTTCATGAGTTTGATGCTACAACCACTATGTTACCGATGACTGTACAACTCTATACCACCCTACACCAATTTGTATAATCTGTGCACTGTCTCTCTACCAAGATGACGACATAATAATCACTATACTGTCAGGAATACAACTCACCGTCTTTCTAGCGACAACAACATTCTCTTCTTCCACCTCTACTTCACTGCCTTGAGATATCCATTCCTTAGGTTCTGGTGGAATGTATTTATAAACAACTTCTTCTTCAGGTTCTGTGTCTCCCTCTCCTTCCTCTTCAGGAGGCTACAAGAACAATCAAATCCAATTGTCTATCAAAACTGTTATAAATGAAACTCCCATGATCATGAAATGATAACATGTTTTATTCCATTGCTGACAGGGCTGGATTAAGAGGGAGGTTCATTGGGTTTGAAAGAAATCCTCTAGAATTTGAAGATATATATAAATTATGTTTATATATATGAAAATATATATTATTATGATCTCCAGGGTAATTACATTGCAATATGCCATTTTGAACACATGTAAACGTTTTCCTCCTGCTTTTGTGTATATACATTGTATGTCAGAAGACCGGCTGCCTTATAGTAGACTTCATACAATAACAATGCCCAATCAGTCACTCCCTCAAGCCACAGATTATGTTGATGGGTAGAGCATTTTTAAATTTTGTAACTTTCCAGAAATACAAATTTTCAGACAAAGGCTGCAATAAAAACAACATAAATAGAAAAAAAAAGATGGATTGAACCAAACTGTGTTTTTTTTAGTAATTATTTACAATGATGATTAAGCCAATATCAACATTGTGTATTGTCACTTCACTAGAGGGTTCAAATTATATATCTGTAATTATTTTACTTACGTGTAAGATTTTTTCCTTGGCCTCTTCAGTCAGTGCAATGCAGAAATTCTGACCATATTTGAAATCTGGATCATATATGACTAACACATCATCACCTGGATAGTCCTGTATAAAGACAGTTATTGTCATCATTAGTACAACACATTGGTAGCTACACATCAAGCGAATGATACGAGTGGAATTAAAGAGAGCAAAAAACGGATGCAGGCATGCACACACACACGGAGGTAAATTCAGAAGTCCCTGTTACTGGGACTAAAAATTGTGCTTTTTATATTGATTATTCCTTACTGAGTTTTATTATTTCTTAAAATATTTATGAATAGATATCTGCGATTAAGGAACATTTAATAAAAAAAGAACTGTTAACTGCCAGTGTGTGATTCTTGATTTGTTGTTCAAAAGCAATGAATTGAAAAAATATTTATTTGTTTCTGGTCGGTGTATGCATCAGGTTGTGCTTGAAGGTTTTTTTTGTTTCTAATGCCAAAAATTGCTGATGAAAATAGAGAATTAATGATCATCACAAAATATTAAACAAATCTGAGGTCTACTCAAGGTACCTACATATAACATATCAAAGAAGTTCAAAAAATATTGAATAAAAATTGAGAATTGAGGATATTTTGATAAATAATTCAAAAATAGCATTTTTTACCAAAAATGACAAAAAATTCACCAAAAATAGAAAACTGAAGATATCATCATGAAATCTCACAACGGTCCACCCAAGTGTCAAAGTAATTGGCCTGGTTGTTTTCAAGAAGGAGTCGAAAATAGAATTGTTGATGGACAACATACAATGGACAGACAACGGACGAACGGTAATGAACAATTACATATATGAACAGCTCTGCTTTGTCATCTTTGATGAGAGTGGAATTAATTAGGGGGGGGGGGGTATTGAGCCTGCCATTGTTGGCACAATATCGATTTTCTCGATGTTTTATATCTAAAAAAAATTGCATAACTTTTTTAAGATTTTTTTTTGGGGGCCTTATGTATATGATAATGAGTAGTATGAAAACCTACCCCTTGATCATTTATGAAAACAGAACTAAAAATAATTGTGTAAATTGTACATTCTAACTTTACAATACATACAAGGATAGTTTGTTTAACTGGATGGAAATCTGATATCGCAGCTCTGGTCTTCATATCTTGTATGATATCATCTTTGGGAATTACTTTATTCGGTTCATCTTCAGTGACATCATTATCCACGATAATACTGAAGATTTCTTGAGTTTTAGCAGAGAAGAATATTGGTATGACGTTCTCTGGCAGTCCTACAAAAACAAGTCATGACATGATGAGATAATCCCAGTATATAGCAAAATATTATATGTACATGTGTCCGTGGTATGTACTGTATTTGCTCTGTTTGTGCATGTCCAACAGGACGTAGGTGAGAACACTAAACTCAAACTGAACCATATATGCTAACCTGATGTAAGTGTATTTGATTCTAATAAGAGTAAATACAGTATTAAAATGAGGTGAAAGACAACACTCAAAGAGTCAAGATTAATTCAAATCATGGCAAATCTATAATGTTCCAGTGCATCGTCCACATAAGACAGACACCTACATTGTGAACATTTTTAATGCATGTTTACAACAAGAATAACTACTAGTCATCCATCTTGAACCAGACTGTGACAGAAATGTTACGTACTACATTATGAACAGTGTGTAGTCTCAGAGATATGGAACATCAATTTTGAACAAGCAGCCTCTCGGCTGAGATAGCTCCGCTGTTAGCAATGCACATTTCAATTAAAGAACAGAAGATGTCATTAGAAAATGAACAATATGCATAGTATCAATGCAATGGGACTTGCTTTTTTTAACAAGAATTCAAAAAAAACATTTTTGACCATAAATGATTGTGGTTTTTAACAAGAAGAAAATATTACTTTTTACCAAAAATGACAAAAATATTCATCAAAATTAGAGAATTGAAGATATCATTACAAAATGAACAAATCTGAGAGAGATCCACATGTAGTACCTATATATGTAATATCAATGCAATTGGACTTGCTAGGAAGATATGATCATAAAATGAACAAATATGAGAGAGGTCTACCCAAGGGACATATACACCAAGTATCAAAGCATTCAGGCTTGTAGTTTTCAAGAAGAAGTCGAAAAAATAAAAAATAAAACATTGACACGGACGACGGACACCGGACAATCACTCATATGATAAGCTCTGCTCGACAAAGTCGACAGCGGAGCTAAAAAAAACAAATTGAAAACTTTAGTGAGATCCACTAAATCAATGAAATGCATACAAGTACTATGATTTTCAATCTATGTACCAAGTTCAAACCAAATTCATCCATTCAGAAATTGGAAATATGCTTGATTTTGGTGTATTTTAACAAATAAAATCAACTAACAAATACACATGCATATGTGAGATATTATTACCTTCCTTTTCTTCTTCACCTTCAGTTGGCTCTTCCCTAACTTCAGAATCTTTCTTTGCTTTCCCTAGTTATATACAAATGACATTTACCAGGTAATGATGAGATTCAAACTGATGAGATTCATTTATGCAATTTGAACATGTAAATAATAATAGTGTGACATATTTTTAGTTGTAGGTTAGAGCTTATAAAAATTCACAATCTCACCTTTCGATGCCCCCTTTTTCCCTTTTGGGCTTTTCTCTCTGCTCTTTGCACTACCAGGTTTAGGACTTTTTCTTTGTGTGGTTGGACTTTTGGGTGTTTTAGAACCACTTGTTGCTCTACTTCCTTTGCCAGGAGAGGGACTCCGTCCCTTCGATGAGGTTCCACTTTTAGGTCGACTAGGAGGACTCTTTGAACCTTTTCTCTCAACATCTTGGGACTTCTCTGATTTTGTATCATCATCAGCCATTATGACAGCTCATGAAATAAACTTATGAAGTAAACAAAACTAGCAAAGAAAAAAAAAATGCCCCAATGGACAAAGATATTAGGTTACTTGTATTCACATAGAATAACAATAAAAGCACCATATAATGGCATGACAAGTTGAATCAATGTAAGAAAGAGAAAAAGGCACAGGTAAGCATGGAGTCAAATCTATTATTGTTTTCATTATATGCTATGGGGTGCTAGAGCCACCTGTTCTGTTTCAAGAAACCGAATCATGGATATCATAGAGAACCTTACAGCAGTGGAACATGCACACATCTACCCCGGTATTGTATTCACTTCCCGTGTTTTAATATCTGGGCTGTAATTTCAGAAGAAGTGATACGATTTGACCTGGATCTACGGTGTTGTCGGGTAGACGTTATTTACATTCGAACACAGACATCCAATCAAACATCGCCATGCAAAATGATGTGAATGCACACTGCATTGGACCAAACAGATAAATCAAACTGAAAATATTGATAACCAGATACTTGCTTCACTATCAACATAACTTGATTTTCTTCGTTTTTATAAATTTCACAATACAAACAGAAACAACAATTTTTTATTGGCCGACAGAATAACATTGGAACATTTTCAAATGATACCAATGCAAACTGTGTTCATTTGATTGGCTATGTTGGATCATGGTTGGATTCAACTGCCATGAAAATATATAAATGTTGTTGATAGCATCTGTAAATATCTCAATCAAAAATCTAATTTGGCAAGTTAGGTAGTTGTATGCAGGCATATTCAATACAAGTATTCTGCCTGATCAGTTCATCCTGTTTTGCTATAGCAAAATCGATGGCGGTGTTTGAATGGGCAGCCGACGACCATAGTGCCCACTCTACCAACGCCGTGAACTAATTGTGTCAGTGATGATATTTAAAACGAAACAATTATTGAATAATAATTTTCATCTCGCCTACATAGATTCTTCCGACTTGATAGTATTGCTAAACGTAATTTGTCTGACTATCTGGCAGCACAGAGCATTAACATCCTAACAAATGGGAGATAGAATGTGAATGGCTGCTCAATCCATAGACCTTCATGCTCAAAACATTTAGCTCCATGCTAAAACTGACAGGGCAGCGCAGGTCGTCCCCATTCAATTAACGAAATAGTTTGAGCTTGCTATCAGATAACTACAATAATTCACATTACTAGAGACTTGATAGTAATTATAAAATGTCAGATTGAAACTTACATGTGTTTTCTGACAGCTAAAACACTGAATTTGTCACGATCACAACAGATAATACGTCAAGTTTACAAACTTTCCGCCATATTGGATCTGTCGTTGCCATAGAGTCGTCCGAGGGCTCCCTAGGTTTATGAGAAAGTATTCTGGTACGACATGCGCCCGCACTCAACTCTTACGATGTTTTTCTTTACATTGACACAAATGGCGCCCTTTCATTAAGGATTAATATTGCGAGTAATAGTAAATAGCGGTAAAAATTAATACAACAGCAACAGTGCAGTTTTCAATCTTTGGAAATAAAAATGTTTTTATTAGTTGTACAAGTAACATCAAAAGAAAAATTAACATCTGTTTACAAAAAACGTCCAACGCTTTTGATCATTTCGTCATCTCTATTTTTAAGTAGATAGCTGGTACAGGTTGCAAGAAATAAAAACAGCATTTTACAGTTTTTACAGGAAATAAAATGAAAGTTCCATTTACAGTAAAAGTACACTTAACAGATAAAGCAAATTCCTAATTACATTTTTATAATATTTTTGATAATTTGTGTTTAAGAATCAAAATTGGAAATTGCGTACTAATTACAATATTTAAAATCAGAAAATTCTTTATACGCTTACAAAAAATAATATCTTTGTAGAAATAACTAACGAATAAAATAGTGATTACATTTTACACCTTGCCCATGTCTACGTATTTACGTTTCATATTTATTTAAATTACATTATTAAGAAAATAAAAACAATTGATAACAGCTTAGGAAAATACCCCTTGGGTATGCTTTTCTTTCTCACTGGCTAAATTGTGGTTGTTTTAAATTTAAGACATTTTGTTTGGTATTTAATATAGCGAAATATAGTTTTTGAATTCTGCATCAATTTCAACTTTGAATTTTCTTTCTTGACCCCAGTAAATCTCCAGAATTTATATAGTTTTCTGTTAATGTTTTATAAATAGCTTATATGGTTTATAAATAGATCCTCTTCTTTCAATATATTTTGCACTGATAAAATCCACAATAAATTTGAGAAGTTTTTGTTCATGAAATGCTTGTTTCAGTTGTAGAAATTTAGTGGTAAATATGTGAAGACCATACTAGTATGTTAATCTTAGTACTGCGTTCCAGATTTTGTTGTAAAATTCTTAGGAATAAAACCACACCACACTTTGAGCACTACTTACCAGGACATAAAAAATCATAGTTGAGATGAGCAGCATGATTTAAGTTTTAGAGTTCCACACTAAACCAACACCATTGACACACCCTACCATGAATGTGCGACAGTGAATAACGACATACTTATTATGTACGAAGTAGGTGTCAATTGCTTCTTGGCGAGATGACATACTATTTATGAAAGGAAGAAGCATCACGAATTGCTGACGTCTCAGGGATGGTACCAAAAACCAACATCACCAGAACAGGAATGTATTTAGTGTATCTAGTGACAGGGCGCTTTTGTAACGTGAAAGTAATGTCAAATCAATAACCATATTTGGTTGAGGAGTCATTCATCATAGTAAAATGTCTCAAACAATTTTCTATATCATCACTATTTACAACATAGCAGTGCAAGAGAGCAATATTTATAGGAAAGCTGTATTGTAGTTGAATATTGTGCCTCATTTTGTATAGTCTTATTTTTGGAGCCATATTTGGGTTTTAAAAATCCAAGCTTTCAAACTGGTTGCTATGGGTAGGACAATTGTAGTAGGCAACTGCCATTTGCACATCTACACACTGTATATTTTAGTTTCTCAACAACGATGCATTTTCAACTGTTAGCGATACAACAAATACCCTTCCATGTTGGACATTTGGTAGTCAGCCAATGTGGGTAAATATTCGGTATTCAACGCGTTTAGAATTATAAACGCATCTCAGGAAGTAATACTTGACACATTTAGAAAGTGTACTACACAATACGAGTGTGCTGTAAAAAAAGTTAAGGAAATTCAAGTTTTGGACTGGTTGAGCAGTGCTAACATTATCCCCCATAATGGTAAATTGGGTGAAAAAACAGCTGGTTACTGTGTGATCTTCAGTAATTTCACAATGGACTTTTGTTGAAATTATAGCAAATATTTTTAATATTTATATGTATTAAAAAAATAATTCTATCATAAATAATACAAAGATTAATACTAAAAGTTGTATTACTAAATATATTTTGATGTATGTGCCATATACCAACTGCAACAATATTCGCAAGATATTCATGTTTGTAAATAGATGAACATTTCTATAGATTGGACGAGATAGTTTTCAGCATTTGAGGGCTCATAAAGCCCAAACACATGCAAGACTTTCCAGCCTGTAACTCAAATACAGCCTTCTAAATAAATCAATAGTCAATGTGAAGCAATCCCCACAGCCATTTTTAATAGGATCGTCAAACCAATATATCTGTATATCTATGACATGATGTATAATGAATATTTAAAATTTGAACATAATAAGTAACACCAAGTCAGAGATATGGCACTAGAACCACATTTATTAAAACAAAATGGCCACCAGTCGACCATTTTGAATCTTATCTGAAAACAAAATGATGTGCATCAAGGTCCTATAATGTCCATTTTAGAACAAAAATGGCCACCTTGAATCAGATTGTGAAACAAATTGATGTGCATATGTATAATACTATGTATGATGTATATGTGAATTTAAAATGTAATTGGTCCAGGCCAAGATATAGGTACAGACGCACACACAATATACAATTGGGAAAGTACTAGTAACCAATGAACCTTTAACACAAATGTGCAATTCCATCCAGAAAGAGCGGCAACACTACTTTTGTTCCATTCTCTACACTGCACCATGTCCACCGACTTACGTAATCATCACATTTGTCATGCAAAGTCCAAGAATAGCATAACCACCAACTTATGAATATTCATGATGTAATTCTGAATATAATACAGCCCAAAAGCCAATAACAGGCGTGTGTATCCCCTCAAATAGAAGTTGAACAACTCCTTCGTAGGTCTCTCTTGCTACTGTTAATCATGGATTCCTGAATGATGTTGCATCATCTCTGTACTTTACGATACAACACGTGTTGTTATAAAAGTATTGGTACAATTTATGATAAAAATTTAACTTGATCCCAGTTGTGGCCACACCAACACAAATCAAGATAACAGAGCATTGTCATTGGGATACACTGGGCAATTAAGGTACTAAATGCGATACAGAGACACACTACAATTAACATGCTGATTTGGTAGTACAGAATGACTTTAAAATTGTACAAAATAAATGTAAAATACAAGAAACATATCGTTTATTCACATACACAGGAGCAATACAAATTTGTGACCATATTTTCATTTCAGGGCATGTATATGGTGGGCAACATACAAAGAAATCAAGATAGTAACAAGTGGTGTCTTGCCAATAAAATCCACCCATGCCTGGAATTGGTGATGGATCAATCAGAGCACACAAATCAATGACATTACCAAATTGTATTTGCTCTATTAGTAGGGCATGTGCACGTATGACATGTTGATAGTCAAAATATGTTACAAGTATAAAACGCATGCACTTTTAATAGAGCAAATACTGTATTAATAACTGACATTCATAAAGTGATGACTGTGGCTGGTACATGCATGAATCAGCAGTATACATGTATGTCTGAGTAGCTAGTCTTGCAATAACAAAGTAAACAGTAGATAATCTAGCTGTTTTTTCACCAATATTGATGCCAAAGGACATTTCAACTTCCATAATTGTGAAAATCACTTCTGTATTACTTTCTCAACATCTGCCAATATTCAGGAAAATTATATAACATGAAGGAACTTGATTCACTTATAAAAATTTATTAATAAATCAAATCATTTGACACATTCATGACTAAATGTGAAATATTTATCCTGAAAAAAACATCTGTCGGTGAGTGACGGTGACCATGGCAAGAGTTGATAGTTCATGCTATTAAAAGTGGGTATAATTTTCGATGCATTTTGCAACTAAATATTAATTTCCAGGGCTCTTTGCAACTAAATTATTGTAGACACTTTGAATATTGTACAGTATTTTAATAATATATATTTTTGTGTAGACTGTAAAATCTTATACTGTAAGTGGTGCCCGTTTTTAACCTTGTTTCCTTTCTGATGTCTAGTTTGAAATGACGGCTAAATAAAATGATATGTGACTGGATAGACACCTATCTTAAAATCATAACTCATAATATAAATATACAAGATGGCCATCAATGTTTTTCTTAGAAGTTGGATGCTAAAAACAATAGACTGTTGTTAGAATTGAATAGACTATTGAAGGAGCTAGATATGTGGAGCAATTGTCAGTTGAGAGAACGGAGAAGCCCAAACTTTTCATTTCCCGTGGAAAACAGACTACTTTGTCAGGACAGTTGCTTGAAGCTGGTTTCACCTATAGAGAGTGACAAATCTCGGAGACTAATGTGTCATTTTCAGTTCATTGTCAGCTGTACTACAAGTACTGTTACTGTCCATTGTAATATCTGTAAGGCATTTTTCCACACAGCCTGATGATTGCGATACAACTGATGGAATCTGTGATGGGTCTAATGGCGGCATAGATGCCAAATATGGTGGGGGCGCTGGTGCTTTGTTTTCATCAGATGTTGGGTTCTCATCCCAGTCTATTTTGAATCTCGTCACACGAGGACTTGTAGCCAGGATATTTCTTGTCATCTGTGACAAATAAAAAAGCAAAACAATTGCATTAAATTTGTTCGATAGTTTTGACAATCATGAATTAGACATGATTTAGTGAATTAATGATATCACCATGAAAGGAACAAATATCATCAAAGCTGGTGGTGGTTTTTCAAAAAGAAAACACCTTTTTTTCAGAAACAAAAACGACACAAATCTGGGAAGGAAGTCACGCAGGGTAAATATTTGTCTAGAATCAACAGCTATTTTTATTAGTCAAAATAAACAAAAGTATATTTTATTGGAAGAAATCAATGTTTGTGCATATAAATGAGGTCACATGATGATAGTAAGAAATAGAATTGAGGTTATTGTCATGAAATGAACAAATCTGATAGAGCTCCATCCATGACGCATGCGTCAGATGGCCATAGGGTGTCATTGTTTAAGTGTCTACCCATGAGCCTTTGCATTTTTAGCGTGTGTTATCATCGCTTGGGACTCAATTCCCAGGCATGCGCAGGTGATGACCCTCCCACTTTAAATTAAGTATCAAAACAATCTGACATGTAGTTTTTTAAGAAGAAGGGCTTAAAACAAAATTCGACATGCGACAGACATCTATATGCACAGAATGATTCTCTTATGGTTATGATCACGCGTATGAGTATGGTCCAAATATAGAACAACTTTCCACAAAACAACCATACCTTTTCAAATAATGGTACTCCAGGGGGAGTCTCCCTCAGCTCTGGATCAGTGTATTCATTGTTGACATAGTAACCAACTCTAACAAATTCATTGCCTCTATAGGAACCAGTAAGCAGCACAACAGTAACACCAACAGCATCAGCCAATGGTATCTTGGATGTATTTGCAGGCTCTGCCTACAAAGTGAAAATCAATAATTACATGTTTAAAATGTGCACAAATATAAATTGGTAGGGGTGGGGATTTTGGGTGTTTGTAGAATCACTTTCAGAATATTTTTCTAGAAAAAACCTGTACACATATTTTGACCACTTTATTCTTAATTTTGAACCAAACAGACATAATTTACCATTGGCTCATTATTAAAGTTTTTGAAAAAAATATGTAGAAGGTTCATCTTATAAGAAAATTTAGACTGGACCGGGAGGTCTGGGTGAAAGCTTCAGTCAGGGTTCTCCACGACGGGTTTTAACAGGGCGCCCTGTTATCTGAAATTGGTGCCCTGTTTAAATTGTCAGCGCCCTGTTATATTTCCTGTGCACCCTGCATAGTCCCAGACAAAGAATTGTTTACAAAACAGGCCATCACTCATTGTCTTCCGAAGATGATTCATCGTGCTCAGGGTAACTGGTTCATTGCTTTAAGGTGTGAAAATCCCGGCTTGTTAGTACATCTATGTTACAACCGAACTAAAAGTTGCAAGTTTTTTTCAACACGATTAAAAATGAACATGTGGCCTAGAAAAGTGCATTACCGTGCCCATATTTTTACTGCCAGGGTGAAGTCAAATATATAAAATCTTTATCGTTAAAACATAAGATCTATGGTTAAAACCAAGTTCACGCCGTGACTGGTAGCAGCAACATCGTCACCGCCGAGCGAAACAAAGGCAGCCATGCTCATGCACGATCGGTAAACGACCAGCGCAGTCGACGTACCATCACAGACATTGTTGATCACCAAGAAGTCCACATGAATGCTTGCTTAAACATGTAAATGTTTATACAAAAATGTATTTTGACGTATGTCACTATTTAAAGTTGAATTTTCTTTAAATCACTATTTAAAAACCCTGGTAAAACGGCCATCCTTTCAACTCGCATCATAAGTGGAAAAAATAAATTTACTTGTGCTTTTCTTGAAACAAATATTCTGATTGGTTGTTTTTAACGTCAATGTGTGGCTTTGGCCAATCAAAGGCATCGTTACATAATATCAGGATGCACGCAGAAAATGAACTGTTTCCGGGTCACTGCTGTTTTTAACGAAGCAGACATCAACAAACTTTCGATACGAATGAAAATTCTTCTAAGTATGTATTTTTTTATACATAATTCTATTATTTTTGATAGTAACTGTTAACTGCAGATCGAAAATCTTCTATTGTGTAGACTTTATTTCGTTTGATCATCTTTCTTTTTGGTGTCGATGACGCACATTCATGCAAGTTTTTCAATGAACCAATTACGAACGTTTGTGCGACATCATAATTTAGTTTGCTTCGTCCAAATAAATATAAATTACAATTTTTGCTAAAAATTAAATAAAGCATGTATGTATCTATTTGGTAAAACTTTTACGTCTTTTTTTTGACGTGATCATTACTGGTAAACAACTGATGTCGCCGCGTGATGAATCGTGCAGCTAAAATCAGCTGATTGTACGTGCTGACATTTACTTAATAGCTCTTCAAAATTCTTATTAATTTTGTAATAAATATATATATATTATGCATATGTAATAATATGTAGATTAATAGATTTTTTGATTTCCATTTTTTCAACGTCCATGCCAATGATGCAAGTTACGAATGTCCCACGCCCACTTCACATTGGCGCGCCCTGTTTAATTTTTAAACCGTGGAGAACCCTGCTTCAGTTGTAAGCACAGAACCAAAGAAGTAAAATACTTTATTTTCACTGATAAGATATTTTATGTGTTTTGTATGGAATTAATTTTCATTAATTTTTGACAAGTTGAATATAAAATATCGGAAAAGAGGTATATTCGCTAGATTTTATTTTCACTGAATCATTTCTGCAGCAAAAATTCAATCCAAGTAAAAATAAAGTATTTTACAGAAACACAAATAATGAGGCAACTTTATGTACATGGAAGAAAAGTTACAATATACCTGAAATACAAACATGTGTCTTCCAGCAGCTATGGGACCAACTAATACTGTATCCAATACTTGATCATGATCTTCACTTTCAGCTGAACCAACATAAATTATTTTCCATTCCAAATCTACAGAGACAAAGCGAAGAAACTGACAGTGCTACTTGATCAACTAGAACACTTTTTGAAACAAAAATTGTCAGGAGCAAATCATCAATGACCTTGCAGGCCAACTTCTGTTTTGTTGCCGTGGCGACAACAGTTTTTTGTCACGCTCCCCGTAAATGTAAACAAACATGGTAATGTGAAAAACTCTCCAGAATAGAATAGAATGGAATAATGCTTTATTGCTAATTACTGTATTAAAGCTTTTTGAAATTAACTACAATTAAACTACACATACAATACAATAATAGATTTTAAATAAACTACAATAAATCACACTGAAAATATAGCACAAGACGACACATTGATATTTGGTTGCGGTATCTCTTTTTGGAGGATGTGGTGGCCCTGAAAAGGGCTGTTTTGTTTGTGTTGTGAGACAACAAGAATTTATTTATTCTGCCAGTTCCTCAGCAGAAAAACCTTCAAACCAGTCATCTTCATCGTCAAAGTCAGAAATAATTTCTGCGATTTCCTCATAACTTCTTATGTTGGTAATACCACACACCTTCAATGACTTGGACACCATTAATGGTCACTCTATCAGCTTCTGCTTATCAGCAGTTGTTAATCTGAAATCGGCTCCACTAGTTTTGGCAGCTTTCTGGGCTGCATCGCTAATAAATTGTGTCCACCACTTCCCAAGGTCGGCTTTGAATGGCTTATTAATACAAACAACCAATGGCTGCAACTTCGATGTACATCCACTGGGAATGACAGCAGGTAATGCGCTCACACGACGATACTTTGCTTTCAGTCCATCGGTGATATGAGCACGGAATGAGTCCATAACCAACATGGAATAACGGCGCTCAGTGTACGGTGACCAAATTTCATCAACCCTTTGCATCATTAGTTGTTCGTCCATCCAACCTTTTTCTTGCAGTGACGACAAAACCAGGTGGTGCCTTGGGCTTTAATTCTAGTTTCCCTTTAAAAACAATCATGGGAGGAAGAACATTGTTGTTTGAGATTACCGCGAGAACCACCGTCAAATGTCTTTTCGCTCCCCGTGTTCTGCACTTTCAGTTTTACGCCATTTTACATCTACAGCCTTATTTGGGACCAAGTCAAAATATACCGGTGTCTCATCCATATTTCCATAGTTGTAGCACCCATGACATAATCTGTTCATCACGTTCATCTCTGTAAAATGTTCTCCACCCACCACCGCGTCGTCTTCCCCCAGGCGTAAACCGCTCACAGTCAAAGTCGTATCTTTTCCAGCCCCAGGTGCGATTTTGTATTTTCTTGCGGCAGTATTGAAATAAATTTTGCTTCTTTGTATACTTCACGATTTGTATATTCCTCTGGTCTTTGGCATGATAGGTGGTGATGTACCGGTGTCAGTTGCATAATTGCAAGAGTTTGTAGTATTGGTGAGTATTATTGGCTGGGTGTCCGTGGCCGTGGATTCAACGCTATTAACATCCAAACGGGCTTTCTTTGGTGGTCTACAGGCGTTTTTGGAACGGTTGGTGTTGTCCGATACATAGACGCAGGCACAAAGGTACAACTGAGACCTCTGCAGTTGCATTAGTGAAAAATGAATGGATTCGAGACATGGCTAGCGAGCAACAAAATAAGTACTGATAACTTGTGAGAAAACTAAAAGTCTTTCCCCAGAGAAATCGCCACTTTTATAGCACGATACTCTGACCAGCCGCAACATTATCACATATTTTTTTGAAATTAAAGGATGTACATCAGTCAGTACTCAGTCTGACGTACAATGTCGAAATGATAAGCCCGAGATTCACACCTCTCTTCGTCTCGTCTGCCACTTAACTGTAACCATGCGCCGCTAATGAAACCGAATCTATGAGAGCGCAGTCTTCACTTCACGGTAACATTTTTTTTATCCACAGTTAAAACAAAAAATCCACTTGACGCTATGAAATATTCCCCCGGCGCTATTCATTCTTCCCCGGCGCTATTGACTCGGGCGTCGCGATGTGATTACCACCATCATACTAGACAGACCTGTTTTAGTTCCTGCACATGTTGGGGCTTTCATTACTGTCAAACAAAGGTCGATACTATCTGAGAGACTGAGTAATTAACACCTCTGTCGGCAGTGTTTCTTTGGCACTCCCGGGCGGAACTCCCGTAGCCACGTGGTGGCTGTTCACGTATACCTGTGTTCAAAGGCAAAACCCTTCACACGATTTAAAAGAAAGGGTACATTATGAATATGCATAATCTGTGAATTCTTTTACAATGAATTTAAAAAATATAAAAAGGGTTGATGTTCGTCAGCGATCAGATTGTACCTTGCCTTCGCATCATAAACACGCTCTCGAGATCGCCAAATATGCAGAAAGAAAATCAGTGTCCGCGTCCCGATCATGGTTCACGTCGCTGTCTACTCCGACGAAACACAAACAAGATGGGCAATCTAGTTCCAAATTACAAGAAAGTAAAACAAGCAGCCTATCGGCTGAGATAGCTCCGCTGTTAGCAATGCATATTTCAATTAAAGAACTGAAGACATCATTAGAAAATGAACAATATGTATAGTATCAAAGCAATCGGACTTACAGTTTTTAACAAGAAGTCGAAAATATCACTTTCTACCAAAAATGACAAAAATATTCACCAAAATTAGAGAATTGAAGATACCATCACGAAATGAACAAATCTGAGAGAGGTCCACATGTAGTACCTATATATGTATTATCAAAGCAATTGGACTTGCGGTTTTTAACAAGAAGTCGAAAATATCACTTTTTACCAAAAATGACAAAAATATTCACCAAAATCAGAGAATTGAAGATATGATCATAAAATGAACAAATATGAGAGAGGTCTACCCAAGGTACATATACACCAAGTATCAAAGCATTCAGGTTTGTGGTTTTCAAGAAGAAGTCGAAAAAATAAAACATTGACACGGACGACGGAGATAGACAATCACTCATATGATAAGCTCCGCTCGACAAAGTCAACAGCGGAGCTAAAAAGAAAAACTGGTTTTGACAAGTCATGGTTAACATCGTATGAATGGTTACGACAAACTCCAGACGAAAAAGGTATGGAAAAAAATATTTTAATCAAGTCTCTCGGAGGTTAAAGGTCTGGCCTTGTGTTTTCAATCGATTCTTTCGGCGACCATTTTGTGTTTCGCTTCTATTTATTTTCATTTGTCGATCACAAAAATGATTTATAATGTTGATTATTTTTGGCAAAACAGGTATGTTGTGTTTTACGCGTGGAAAACACGGAGTAAGAGCAAGAAACGGATCTGATTATGACTCCATGCACAGCGTTGGAGAAACAGAGTATTGTGCGACACGTGAAGTCTGACATGCATAAACTCGCCAAACTAAAAGAAAAGAAGGCGATATTATCTGCCAAAAACGGTGGAATCATAGCAGCAATGGATCATCATATAAATATGGAGAGACAATCGTTTATTTCTGCCCTTAGATGTATGTATTGGATATGCAAAAACGAAGTAGCACATACAACGAAGTTCAGGCCATTGCTTGATTTGGTGAAATCCTTTGGTGGTTCATGCTTAGAACACTTGAACAAGGTAAATTGTTTTTTAATCATTTTTTTTAATTATTCCGCTTTCCTTATTTCTAATTTCATTTAATTAATTGCACTGATTATTGCAGGGTGGTAATGCCAATTACATGTCAGAAAGGATAATTCAAGAGATGGTGGATGTCTTGGCTCAGGTCATTGAAAGAAGAATACAAGTCCATTTTATAGCCTTATGGTAGATGAAACCACAGATATATCAATACTCAAACAACTGATTATGTATGCCAAGTACACTGATAAAGAAGGAAATGTATGTACTTTCATTATGTTTGAAGACTGAGCATTATAAAATATTAAAAAAAAAATAAATATTTTCCAATGTACTTAGTAATTGGTTTCTTTGCTTTTGTACATAAATTTTAGTACCATGCAAAACCTACTGATGTTTTTTTGTAGTGTAATAAAGAATCATTATTTTCAATGATTATAAAAGTTGTAACTATATACAAGTGACTAAATTTTCATTTTACAGGCAAAAATATCATTTGTCCACATATCAGACATTTTTTGATGGAAAGGCTGAATTATAACCGGGTTTTATCTGTTTTTATTTCAGACACTATCAACCCATTATAGTAATATTTTATCTAGTGAAGTGATGGCTATGGAGTGGGAAATGATGAAAAAAGTAATGGTGGATGACCAACACAGCAGTTTTACTTGGACTCAGATGATGACCAAAGTGGTGAAGCAATATAAAGATGTATTTGTTAATTTATACAAGTTGGCTGTTATAGGATTGATTGTTCCAATGAGTACTGCAGGTAAGTTCATTAACATGAAAACTATGAAGTAGTAAAAATTATAATTATTCAAACTTTTTTTAAGGTTTTGAGATGCACATTATTCAGTGTTCTCCTCGAGGGGTTTAGGAGCGCAGCGCCCCTCTTTAATTTATTTGCGCCCTTCCTTTGTTTTCGGAGAACAGCTGTTTCACGAGTACCGGAAGATGTCCCGACAACGTTAATGAGACCTCTTATTAATTGACAGGCGATAAAACAAAGAACTAAGAGACGGATAGTGGCATAGGTGACAACTAGGACAATGGATTGGATGTCTGGGGAAAAACTGGCTGAACGAATAAACAAAAAACAATGGCTAGATGCGTGAAGTGAGTGTCACAAGCATTACGTTAATCACGTAATTGGAGTCAAAACAAGTTCCTTCATCATTCCTAAATTAGCTTAGATACTTGAGAACAGAAGAATCAACAACAATTTATTGTCCCAATTGCTTGTTACTTGCCTTTTATTAGCGAAAAGTAAAAAGAATCACCAAAACAAAACGTGTTGGTAAATACTGAAACAACATGGATGACAGGGTATCTGATTTGACCTTTGTCCTCAGTACCCATAATGCAATCGATATAATGATCAATTTGTTTACAGTCATTGGATTCGATTTTGTCTTTTTTTTGAATGGTAATTTGGTATGTGAAAACATTTTTCTTATTATTACTTGAGTTTTTTTCAACTATTACAATATGTCAGTGCATTATAAAACTTTTGGAAATGAAAATGCTTGAAAGAAATTTAAAAGAAATGAATGAAAGGCTAGAATTTCATCACAACTTGTTCCATTACAGAGAATATCAAAGAAAGCTTAGAAAGATCTCCCGTGCTTAGAAAGATCTCCCGTGTGCTGAGAGTATTGAAGACACATTAAAAATTAATTCAAAATTACTTGTACTTGAGATATTGATGGAATAGCTGAAAACTAATTATGTAAATCAGGTAACTGATATGAACAGATTTAAGTGTAAAACTAATAAGGTCTGCACAATGTACCAAGTTTCATTGGAATGTGATTGGAACCCAAAAAATATTAATTATTATGCTAATTAGAGAGTTAATATGAACAGATTTTAACCCAAAATTAATCAGGCCGTCTATTGTCCTAGAGCATTTATGTACCAAGTTTTATTCAAATGTGATGATGATCAATACTTGAGATATCAGTATTAATTAATTATGTTAATTAAGTGATTAAGAAGCATACATATTTACCAAAAACTAATATGATGTATAGTCCTAGGTTCATTGAAATGTGATGAGTACACTCTTTAAAAGTTTCATTGAAATCCAATGAGTGGTTTGTAGACATCAATGCAACAGCCATAGAACAGCAAAAATTAA